TAAATAAATAAATATGCATATATTAGGGTTGTAGCTCAAAAATTATTAAGTGATAGGAGTATATGATCAAGAAAGTTTGGAGACCATTGCCTCTACTAATGCAATACAGGCACATTCCTACTTCTTTCCCTGTCATGCATAGTCACATATGCATACATATCCACTTGCATAATACAGAAATAAATCTACTTTTTGGTTATATATGTGTTTATCCAGAACTTTTCATATGCTCTTGGTTCAACTCAACACATACATATTAAACATCTACCATATTCAAGATATCAAATGTTAGTAAAGCTTATAAATGACTGATATTCCATGGAACAAACTAACCTGGGAATTAAAGTACTCATAATACTATGACTGTAAAATGTTGCTAGTACCGTATCCTCACATCATCATGTGCTTAATTAAACTGTTGTTGCTGTTCAGTCCAGTCTGATTCTTTGTGATCCTATTTGGGGTTTTCTTAGCAAAGATTCTAGAGTGGGTTGCTATTTCTTTCTTCAGCTCATTTTACAGATGAGGAAACTGAGGCAAACAGGGTTAAATGTCTTATCGAGGTTCACATAGCTAGTAAGTGTCTGAGGCCAGATTTGAACTCAAGAAGATTAGTCTTTCAGACTACAAGGTTTACATTTTATCCACTGTACCACTTAGCAGCCCAATTAAAATATAGAGGAAAGCAAATACTTAGAGAATAATAAAAGAAGTCATTCAGATCAAACATCAGAATCTCTTTCAATGTGGGCTTTCACAAGATAATCTTAATAATGCTTTTTTTCCCCTCTACCCCAAATGTATTCTCTGTCCCTGTGTGAAGGAATATAAATGACTGTTCATGTTACTCAGTCTCACATCTCCTACTACTATTATCTACTTTCTTAAGAATATGTATAGATAGGAAGGGGAAAGAAGGAGTGGGGTAGCCCTCAAGGTAGACTATGCAAGAATGAAAGCATCTTGACAATAATTTGTCAAAAAAAAAGTCTGTTCATTTCTATGATCTAGCACAATATTTTGAATATTTTGTTTACTAGGTGCATATTGAATTAAACGTAAGGTATGTTAGTGCGTGTGTGCCTATGCATGCATTCATGCAAGCATGTGTTTATACGCATGTGTACACATGCCTATGTATGCCGCGGTGAGGAACCTGTGGCTTCAAGGCCACAGGAGGCCTTTTAGGTACTTAAGTGCAGCCTTTATACTGAATACAAGTTTTACAGAACAAGTTCTTTTATTAAGGGGATTTGTCTGTGAAGTTTGGATTCAGTCAAAGGGCTGCACTTGAGGATGCACTAGAGGGACTCATGTGACCCTGAGGCCACAGGTTGCCAAGCCCTGATTGTAGACACATATCACAAGTATATATAATATATTTTGTAGTTGATTTATCTCATACACATACATATATGCATATGTATATGTATATAGCACATATAGATATCCCACTTATATACATGTATGTATATCATTACTTATATATAAGTGTATATAAAATCTCATATGTGTGTATATATCCCCAAAATGAACAATAAGAATAATGACACAATCAGGGCAGCTAGGTGGCTTGGTGGAAAGAGCACCGGCCCTGAAGTCAGAAGGGCCTGAGTTCAAATGCAACCTCAGACCAAACACTGGACACTTACTGGCTGTGTGACCCTGGACAAGTCACTTAACTCCAACTGCCTAAAAAAAAAAAAGAATAATGGCATAAGGAAGACCACAGATGAAAGATACTGATTAAGAGAGGCAATATGCACGGAGGCCTGTCTTGGGTCTCTGGGGTGGAGGAGAGAATCTTGCTTCTTTCCTCCCCTTCATTCCCATCAGAATCTCCTGGGTCCAGATATGGAACCCCTGGAGAAGTACAATGTTGAAGTACTTCTTCAAGACCCCCAGTGGAGGAATTTGAGATCTAAGACTCCTATAGAGAAGAAGAGGAATTTTCAGATTCTAATGAATTCCTAGAACAATAAGAGTCTTAGAATTATAAAATTAGAGCTGGTAGATACTTTTGAAGGCCATAAATTTGTAGATGTAGGTCTTGAAAGGACCTCGTTTTATAGAGAAGCCTAATACTCAGAAAAGTTAAATGACTGGACCATCAGTAAACATCTAATGCAATATTTGCCCCCAAGTTTTCCTAACTCCAAGTCCAGACCTCTCAGGAGCTAATGTCAAGGTGCATCAACAAACATGGTGATAAGGAGGAGTATACTGGTACCTTGTCCTTCATTATTACTAGACCCGGACTTGAGTTACCTTTTAATATATCCAGTACAAACTTTAGGTAGAAGTACAAGTGGCAAAAAGTTGAGTTGTGTTCATTTTTCTATTTTCATAAATATGGTGAGTACTATAACATAATAATTATAATAAAACTTCACTTGAATAGGGTTTTATGCTGTCAAAGCTGCTTTCGCATTCATTTACTGCATGATTACTCTGGATATAAATGCTTTATTCCTCCTCAAGATATCTTGTATTTACTGATCTGTTTACATATTGTATCCCCAGTGGGATGTAACTCTCTTGAGAGAAGGGACTCTTTTGTTTTTTAAATCTTCATATTTCCCATGCCCTTGTATCCACAGAGCCTAGAAGAATATATCACATATCATGAAGAATAATATGTCTCTTGTATTATTGAATTGAATTGATGTAGATCAAAAAAAATAGTCTCTATTTTATTTAAAAGCCTTTCTTAGACAAGATATTTTTCATTAACAAAGATGTCAGTGCTTTTAGAGGACAAGTTATTTCATTCATCTGGATGCTGGAAAATAAAGAAAAATGAAAGCATGCATGGAACAGAGGTGGACCAACAAGTCTATTAAAATACTGCTGATCCATTTGTCCATCAATGAAAATCTGTCAGGCACAATAAAGGGCAAAGACTACATTTGATCTGTTTAGTTTGACCCTTGTTCCCTAAACAGACATCAAACTGTTACAGACAATAAAAATGGGTACCAGCAATTTCTAACTGATGGAGCAGAGGGAAGGATGCATTTAACCATTTCAACAAATATCTTCCTCAAGTCTAGGTAGCACTAAATTGTGTTCATATTCTCTAAAAAATTGACCTTATTACCACAAGGATATTGGCCATAAACAGAAGCCTTATAGATTTGATTATGAAAATAATATACATTCACACAAATTTACTTTAATGTTTGCATGAATTTTAAAATACTTTTTTGTTTTCTGGTAAATCGAATGTTAATATTTTAGAAGTAAATATTATATGTATTCTATGTGTAGTATAAATGAAGCAACACTGTTTGTGTGGCAATATCACACAGCACACATATCCTTTATATTTATGTTCATGCATGTGTAATATACATCTATTGGCATAGTGTATACCAAACGTGTATGTCTATCTCCCATTAGGTTCTAGGAAAGTGTTAATGAACCTGATATTTCTACCACCTAAAATTTAGACTGAGTTTTCTATAGCTATTATCACTTAAAATTTTCTATTTTGAAAACTCATTTAAAACCAAATCCTCTTTTCAAACTGTCAGAGTGTAAATCATGTATTCAAAAGAATTTGCCACTGCTACTTCGAAGAAAATTTACTCTCTCTGTTCACAGCCACTCAAGGAAAAGTTCATAGTTTTATTGTTTGGGAGTGACACTCAGCTTGTGATACAATTAAATCTAATTCCCTACACCTCTCTAAAAGCCAGCATTACTAACACTCATCTTGCTTTCTTTCACTGACATGCAAGCAGACAATATCATACCCAATTATTTTCTTTCAGACATATCTCTAAGAAATCAATGTTTTCAAGTACCATTTGGGATGAAGAGATATTTTAATATTGGCACAAATGCAAATTCAAAGTATTTTTGTTGTTCTGTAAATTAGATGTTAATCTTACAGAACCAACACAAACATTTCTTATGTACATTACCAATTAAGCAAGAAAGCAAAACAGGGTATCTGCTTATCATAAGATAATCACAGCCCTGGTGATTTATAAGGCAACAGGCCCAGCTGAATTTAATTGGGTGATGAGAAATCAACTGAACAAAAATTATAACTATTAACACAATTCCTAGACTTGAAAGGAAATGCAAAATATTTTCTAAAAAGAATTAGAATTATCATAGAATTAAAGAGTCATTGATTCTCCTTCTGCTCTATACCTTAGGAAAGTAGGCTTTTGAAGTGGTACATAATTGACAAAGGAAAATCTTTTTTGATGGCATAAATTGCCACCTGCCAATGTACAGATGTGCTGCCATTCTATTTGGGCATCCTTCCTATTTTTGTTTAAATTTTATAGCCCTAAGGGGAAATGGAACTCAGTACGTACCTAGAGGTACCAGGCAACATTTTTCAGGACCTCTTCTGTGCAGAGGGTGGGATGAAAGCACACAATTTGGAAAAGGCAGGTAGAATAGTAGCATTGCAACAATGATGATTCTTCTATAATTGGACCTAGAAGTTTCAGAATCCCTGAATCTTGGAGTTGGAAGGGACCTCAGAAACCATTAACTCCAACCACAAAAGGAAAAAGAAACCCTAATACCATATCCTCAACCAATGGTCATCCAACATTTGTTTGAAGACGTGTAGTGAACAGGAACATGGTTCCTCCCAAATAGTTTTAGGAAGATTTTCTTTACATAAAGCCTAATTGTCTATAACTTGCATCTTTAAAGCCTGGTTCTATCTGATCTTTAGTGTCAAGCAAACAAGTGTAATTCCACAGGGGGTGTCATGCACTTTTCAGGGCTTCTTACACTGTAGTGCAGGAATAGAGACCATGGATAGATTTCATGGGGCACACAACCTTTGATGGAGGGGAGAGAAGTATTTTTTTATTAACCTTTAGGGTTTTTTTTTTGGTAATCCTAGGATTTTTATCTGATGTATTTAACAATGTTACTTCTTGAAAAGATCCAAAGATTGCACCTAATTGCCAAAGATGTTATACTGACAAAATTGTCCCTTCCTAATTTTGTTTATCCTCTTCCAGGTACGTTAGCTAATCTCTGACCTTCTTAACGTGTGACCATAAAGACTGAACATGGTGCTCCTGATGTGATTTGACATGGGTGGATATAAAACAGCAAAGTTCTGATTCTCAATGATAAAAGGACACATTATTACCTTGGTTTTGATCTCTAAAAGAAATGTGTATTATATTGTTATGTTACGATATGATATGATATATGATATGTGATATGATATAATATGACATATTAGTCCTTTGCTATAGCTAGCTCATCCCCACCCCAGATATGATGGAAGCAGAGAGAGAAGGGAATAGTACAATATTTATCCTGGCATGGTACAAATCCCAATATGAATTGTTATGAATTGAATTGTTATGAAAAAAAAATGTTTTCAGTTTGGTATCTCAGTCATCTGCCTTTACAGTCAGCCTCAGACAAAATTGGGAAGTGGAAATTGTTTCTTTAGAAATCACTTTTCTCCTTTTATCTACTACTTGCCCAGATATCTCATTACCTTCCTTCCTTAGCAGAGCACCCTTAAGGTTATCACCACCACCGTCAATTTTTTCACCTGCTTAGCTGACTTCAGATTTGGTTCACATTTTCCCTCTCCACAACAGTTCTCACTACCATTCTTGGCAACCGATATCTATTGTGTTTTAATGTTCCTTATTTTGTTTAATTCTAATGTAATATTTCATTCTTTTTTTTTTCCCAACTTTGAGAAATGCCAATGAATGGCTTTATTTTATACAAAAAAGACAATAAAAGGGGTTGCAAAAGTCTAGTAGACTTGATTTTATACACACTTGCAAAGTCTCACAGTATTCAAACTCTAAATAATCTCCAGCCAACAGAATATAACATATCAAAGTCCTCATGATTAAGCTTAATATATGCCCCCAAAAGTATGCAAAAAGATACTTCATTTTATGCCACATATACCCTCTAGGTAAGGGCATCTTAACTTGGAATCTGTGAATTAATAGAAAAAAAATTGATAAAAGTGATTTTAATATGATTGGTTTATTTTGTGATTGTATTATTTTACTTTATTCATTTATAAATATTCTTATGAAAGGGGTTTATAGGCTTCACTATGACAAATAAAATTTTTAAACCTGTTTTTTTTTCCTTTTTATATCAATTAGGTAAGATGAGTATGATAAAACAATAGTAACAACAACAATAATTGCACATAAAATGTATATACAGCTTTAAAGTTTACAAAGCCCTATATACGGATTCTCCTTTGAGCTTCACAAAAACCTTAAGAGATAGGTACTGCTGTTGTCCCCATTTTATAGGTGAGCAAAATGAGATTGAGAGTTTAAGTAACTTGCCCAAAGTTATACATCATGTAAGTGTTGGAGGAATAACACGAACTCAGTTTTTACTGATTACAAAACCTATTATGTTTGTATGTTCACTATTCATTAACTTGCATAGACTTTGAAATCTGGTATCCATCTACCAAAATTATTCCTTTGAAAGTCGTTAATGACCTTCTTGACAAATTCAATGGCTTCTTCCTTGAATTCATTCTCTTTTATTTCACTGTAGCATTTGATAGAATTTATCAGCCTCTCTTTTTTTTGAAACCCTCTTGTTTTTGCCATGCTACTACACAAACTTTTCTCTTTCTTCTTTGATTACTTTTCCTTGGTCTCCTCTGTCTCCTTACTCTTCTTATTGGCTTTAAGAACTTCTTTAAGACTCAGGTCTTGCTGGGGGTGTTCATCTACTGCAGGCTAATAATTTTCAAATCTCTATCCAGTCACTGCTAAGCCTTCAAGGTCCACAGCATCAACTGTCCTGCAAGATATGTCCAATTTGGTGAACTGCTATCCCCTCTCAAAAGTTGTATTTTTAAACTTAAGCTACCTAAAAGTAGTTTTTCTTTCCATACTCTCTACTAACGAATGCTAAACTCCAACAATTTGAAAATATATGTAGAAAAAAAAGTTTCATGAAAACCCATTTATTCAGTTTCCACTACTATGACATTTGTGATCATTTTATCTTGTTGAAATGGAATTTTCCATTGCATAAAAATAAAAAAAAACCCAAGATTTGGAAGAAATGATATGATGTTCAGTTATTTAACAGTCATGTCCAACTTTCCATGACCCCCCCTTTTTTTTTTGGTCAAAGAAACTGAAGTGGTTTGTCATTTTCTTCTTCAGTACATTTTGGAGATGAGGAAACTGAGGCAAACAGAGTTAAGTGGCTTGCTGAGGATCACATGGCTAATAAATGTCTGAGGCCAGATTTGAACTCATGATGATGATTCATCTTAATTCTGAGCTCTATCTAGTGCTCTGCCTAGCTGCCCCTTTTTGGGAGAAAAGGGGATGCTTAATTCACTTAAGGAAACTAAATGTTTTCAACCACTTCATCAAGGTACTTTTACAAAAAGAGAATCATGTGATTTCAAATTATTCATATCTAGTCATTAAGTAGATCTCAAAAGACTTTAACTTGGCAAATTGTCCATAAATTTGGGTTATTGTAAATGCGGCAAGACTAATTTGTTAAATGTATTAATTTGCTAGTTTTTGTTAGAATATATTCTTTCATTCAACTACCCTTTCACAAATTCATAGTCCTCTCTGGTCCCCTCAGTTAGTGTGTATTAAGGAGTCTATAGAAGGAAAATGAATCAAAAGGAAAAAAAAATAAAAACAATTAAGGCAACACGTTTCAGTTAAACAAAGATTTCAGTCTTACATCTTTTTCAATTTTATTTTTTGCTATTTATTTTTTTTTAAGGAAATAACAATGTAATTTGCCCAGGTAACTATATGACTAATTAGTAGTTTTCATAGATGAAATATGCCTGAACACAACCTGTTGATAACAAATTTGGCAATGAATTGATTCAAATATGAAGTACCTTAAAAAATTATTTAGCACATCATTGCTAAACCAAGAATTTTTGACGTGTATGTGTGTGTGTGTGTGTGTGTGTGTGTGTTTGTGTTTCTATGTCAGTGACTCAGTCAGTGTGGTGAAACCCAAATTCTCAGAATAATGTTTGTAAATGCATAACATAAAATACAAAAGATTACAAAGGAACACAATTCCATTGAAATACTTTTGTCAATTAAAAAAGAAAGAAAAACAGTTTGTAAACATTAGGTTAATAATTCCTGTGCTAAACAAACCTAGCATGCTATTATTTTTTTCAAGCATGGTACTTGAGCTTCACACTTTTAATATCATTTTAACATTTCTGTGTCCCAGGCTGAAGGTTGATATTAATTCAGAATTTTTTAGTTGAAGAAACTAGAGGCTAACGAGGAGGTTTAAGTACTTTTTTCCCCCAAAAAACCAAATAACAATAGAGACTTGGTCTGCTTTACTCTAAAATTAAAAAAAAAAATTACTTCTGATTGAGTTTCTATAGGTCTATGATTTCTATCAATCTGAATTTGTCATCTGGCTGGATGATTGTTTTTCCTCTCCAAATTACCTGATCGTTTTGACATGGACTGAAGGTAATCTCAGACATTTTGTGCTCTGAATCAGTAAAAAGAACAAAGGAATAACAACAGAACAAGCACTAAGGGCTATTTGTTTGGCATCGTATTGGGAAAGCCAGTGTGATAGAACTAGACAACTTCCAATAAACCTTAATAAAAGAACTAAGAATAGAAACCAAGACTACTGAAATGGAGCAATTATTGAATGGCCTCCAATGAGCAGTGATCGAGATGCCTTGCTATCCCAGTGACTTGAGCAAAAACATCTCATGAAAGGATCTTCACACAGTGTACTCTTACTTTATCCCCAATTCTTTGCAAATATTTTCTGAGATTGTAGGTAAATTTGACATCTGTGGCCTTCGAATGCTGTGAAAATGAGAAATGTTGTAGTGGGCAGCTTTATAAGAGTACAGATATATTTGAATCTGCTTTTGGAAAAGAAATCTGATTCAAACCTCCAAATTAATTTTTTCTATCTTTTTATTTCTTTTTTTTTTCTGTTTAAACACATAAAATATTTTTCTAAATTACTCAACATTGCTCTGTCCCTTGACAGGAAATACACAAATGTGTATCCATATGTATTCTACTGGATTCTAGAAATGTCTTTATTTTTAATTTTTTGCCTCACCATAAAGTAGACTTTCTTTTTCTTCCTTCCTTCCTTCCTTCCTTCCTTCCTTCCTTCCTTCTTCTTCTTCTTTCCTTCTTTCTTTCTTCTTCTTTCTTTCTTTCTTTCTTTCTTTCTTTTTCTTTCTCTCTCTCTCTTCTCTCTCTCTTTCTTTCTTTCTCTCTTCTCTTTCTTTCTTTTCTCTTTCTTTTTCTTTCTCTCTTCTCTCTTTCTCTTCTTTCTTTCTTTCTTCTTTCTTCTTCTTTCTTCTCTTCTTTCTTTCTTCTTCTTTCTTTCTTTCTTTCTTTTCTTTCTTCTTTCTTTCTTTTTTTTCTTTCTTTTTTCTTTCTTCCTCTTTCTCCTTTCTCTTCTTCCTTTTTTTCCCTTCTCTCCTTCTCTTCTTCTTCCTTTCTTTCTCTTTCCTTCCTTCCTTCCTTCCTTTCCTTCCTCTTCCTTCCTTCCTTCCTTCCTTCTTCTTCCTTCCTTCTCCTTCCTCTTCCTCCTTTTTTTTTTCCTTCCTTCCTTCCTTCCTTCCTTCCTTCCTTCTCCTTCCCTTCTTCCTTCCTTCCTTCTTTCCTTCCTTTCCTTCCTTTCTTCTTCTTCTTCCTTCCTCTTTTCTTCTTCCTTCCTTCCTTCCTTCCTTCCTTCCTTCCTTCTTTTCTTTCTTTCCCCCCAAACACCAGAGGTTATTGGATCTCACATACAGTAATGTTTAAAGTTTATTAAGTTTGTGATATGACTAAAATATGAATTAAACAATCTCGCCATTTCCAACCTGGCTTTCCCTGTATTCAGTATTCATTTATGCTAAACTACATAAAATTATAGAAGTTTGCCTTATTTATAATAGACAATCAAGAATTAGGAGGCACTTGACACAAATCACACCTTAAATCCATGTTGTGAAATAATATTGCTCCCCAGATGGGAAGAAGTTTTACTGAAAGAAGTTAAAAGGTATTTTGCTCAGTATGTGAATGTGTGAATATGGGAAGCATCTGTGATTTTGTCAGCATGGGTAACTCTCTAGGTAGGAATTTCCTCCACCAGTATACCTACATACCCTGTCTATGACTTAGCAGCTAGATAAGTCCTCAAGTGATCTTCCTTTGGTGCTTACTATTTAAGTCTTACTTCTGCCAATTTAATAAGTTTGAGGTAACACATCAGAGTTATTTGGTATGAATTACCCTTTTTGATAGTGTTTTGAAGCTTTACTCCTTA